TCATTGATTCTTCAAAACCAGTTTCGCTTTCTGTTGCCGAATCTCGTTTCTTTTCTTACATTTCAAATCGAAAACAAAGGTATAACTTCTTGAATCTGCTGACTTTTCTCAACCAAATTCTCAGTCATTTTCAGTCTAGGGTATTGGACAATGGTTTGCTAAAAGAATATGTGGTAAAAACGATGACTTTGGTACATACTTAAGTAAACCGAATCAAACCGGATATTTTTACAAATAGAGTTGAAATTGGTCTTGTTGAGTATGATTTTGTGGTCCAGTGTATACCATTTTACTTGGTACATAGATTTTGTTTTACTGGGAAAAAATCTCAATGTAGTAGTTATGTGTTCAGTGAATGACCAATGACCACATAGAGTAATTGTACAATGATTATAGAAAATTGTTTTTGTATTAGTGATATATTTGATGACTATCCCCTGATTTGTTACCAAATTACACTTTGTCATTCAACATATGAATACTTGTTTTTGACAAGTTAATAAATAATTCTATAAACTGATTCTACAACGAACAATTTTACTCACATAACTGCATAAGTCGTAACAATATACACGATAAATTCTATATATGCTATCTTTATGATGGACAATTTTAGGTTTTGGTGTTGACTTAATTGTGTTCTTGATCATGCTTTTATATGTGTTCTACTTCATTCTTTGTTCTTTTGATTTTACTATATGCGATTTTCTGTTTCAGTTTGTTTCAACGGATTGTAATATACGTTTAAAATTTTATGAAACATAATAAATTAGTGTTTTATAGAATCTTGTATAATATATATAATAATTTGATTTTTTCGTTTTATTTCTCATAAAAAAAATAATTATTTTTTATTCTTTAGATATCTATTGAGTATCACCATTGGATACACAAATTAAAAGAAACTTAAAGAGTCTCAAAGATTAAACTAGTATTAAAATAAATAGTAAATTAATGTTTGATGCTCTTAAGTTTTTCTTAAGACTCGTTCTCATATTTCTTCGATTTCCACACTAAATTAAAGACATTCTAAAGCTTGAAATCTCTAAGTTCTCCTTTTGCACTCTAATAATACATTCAAAGGAAAATCTTTGATAAAAATAATTACAGGTAAGATATATTGGTTAGATTGATATGGTCATGGATTTTTTTTTTTTTTTTAATCTTAGATCTTGAAATGAGAAAAAGCGAATCATGTTTGCTTATTTTACAAGAACGTACGAATCTCGTGAATATTCTATAATATAGTCGTTTTTGGGTTAATAATTTATGTAGCAATCTTATCTTTCACTTTTCTAGCCACTTTATAACCAACTGCTTGAAACTATTTACCCGAGAAAAAATGTAAGAAAGAAAAGTTACCTCTTTTGCAAGGGATTATATGTATTAGGCTTTATATCTCCAGTTGGAATTCACTTTCTCCAAGAAAAGAAAATTACGAGATATGAATCATGCTCAATATATATACCAAAAAGGTTGAATATATGTATAAGAAGATGACAAATATTGCGTAAGAGTGAGGTCCAATTCTCGCATGGTGCAACGGATCGTTACCAGCTAATATTTGGTGTGTTCGGAAACGACTTTTGTTTGCTTGTTATCCCGTTTTATTGGTCATTCATTTTTTTCTTTTTTTAATGTTCTCTTTGTTTACTAACTCTCCCACGTGTTTGGTTTCCTTTGTGATATACACGCTGCCGAAATCCAATTTGTCATCTATGAAAATTAATTTATAGCAGATGAATTTTGGATCCAACCTCGTAATCTTCTTCTCGGACTAGTAACCATTCTATGTTAACTTATTTCATCTATATTGTCGGATGCTCGAACTCAAAACCTCCAAAACTTATCCTTTTCGATGGCTAGAGGTTTATCGGTTGAGCTACCGGTTTCGAGAACACACGGGTTTTATTTTGTTTCGTATAATTTTTTTTTAATGAATTTGAAATCTTGTATCAATTTAATTCAAACTTTCATACCACGTAAAACACATGAGTACTCTTCTAATAATATTTATTTAACACATTAATTAGTTGTATAAACACTTTAATTTAATTGACAATATTTGACGCATCAAACTCAATTTTGCTAAATTTAATCTAGGTACGTTATCATCATGAGGAAAAGCTTTACGCCCATGATATCATCTCCATGGATAGACAATTCTCTTTTAGGATTGAAGTTATACTGATCATAGATAAAGCATATTAAACACGAATACCTACATAACTTTTGCCATTTTCAATGATGTTAATACATTTTTATGAAGTGTGTAACTAAAAAGACTTGGATACATATAACAACGAAGATTAGTAAAAGTTTATCTTTTTCATCAATAGAGAAATATGCAACTTAGTTTTGTATGTTTTTGATTGATATACTTCCATATGAAACTTTTGCAAGTTTTTTCTTCATATCTCTTTCATGTGTGTGATATTAATTTTAGTGGAGACGATTTTGAATTCTACATTAGATAC